AAGGCTCATTAAATATCACAAATTAAGTTGTTCTATATTGGTTGTGGCAAATTGATGAGTAGAAAACAAGCTTAGAACCTGTGTCCTGAAGCTTAGAACCTGTGTCCTGAATCTTGCTGAGGCTCAATATGCTTTGGGTAGCTTCAACCAAACACATCTCTTAAGTTTGAAGAGCTAAACAAATAAGTCCAAAAGGTAAAACTCAGAAAACAAAATGACATTAGATTTTATCCAAATAAACATAAATAATGTTATTGTAAGAATTAAAAAAGACGAATTACTTTCCCTAATGTTAGTTAATTATAGAGTAGATGATTGGTAAATGAATTCTCACTAGGACGGATTTTTGTGTTGTGATTCTTCTGATAGACTTGAATTCAAATGATTGAATGATGTATGTCCAAAAAAGTTTCAAAACAAAAAGTCATGAAAGAGTAAAGAAAATAATTCTGTATTTGGATTGTAGCAAGGCTCTGTTTTGAGCATTTTGAATGAATAACTTTAAAAAAAGGAAACGAAAATAGAATGCAGATTGTGAAGGGTTAAAACTTAAGAATGAAATATAAATGACTTCAATGAAAAGGGTTAAAAAATGCATTACTTCACTTACTGTCGAAAATTGTGAAGGTTACAGTTCAAATGAACAAATTATCAGTGACGGGTATTATCAGTTTCTGAAAAATTTATTTAATACAATAGAATATTAGAATCACTATTTAAGCTAAAGTCATTAAACATAAAATAGAAACTCCACATCATTTAAAGCAAATTGAAGACTACAGTAATTTAATACAAGGTAAGAACCTGTGCTGTGGGTTGTGGCAAGGCTCACTGTGTCTTGGTCAGTTTGAATCAAAGATCTGTCAATAGCCTCGTGCAATTCTGGAGTTCCAATGGCTAAACATATTTAATAAATGAAATTATAAAAATTGGATGAAAATAAATATTTGGAAAACAAAGAAATTACTCTCTCCCTCTCAAATTATAAGACACTTTTAAATAAAATCTCACATATCAATAAACCATATTAAATACATTTAATAACCTTATTTTTTTCAAAACTAAAATATAAACTTTCAAAAATACCCATAATTTAATATATTGAAAAGAGAAAGGATGATAATTAATTATAGATAGAGAAAGAGTAATATTGAAATTAGTGCATTTAATGAAATTTTAATTTACCCAAAGTATCTTATATTTTGAAACGAAAAAACTCCTTTAAAAGTGTTTTATAATTTGAAATGGAGGGAGTACATCATTTCAAAATAAAGACAACACCAATACCTGTTTCTTGAAATGTGACAAGGCTTATTAAATTCTCTTTTTGATTTGTATCATCAAATGAAATTTTCTTGCTCTCCTGAATCCGCAACTCGATCAGTCTTTGACTCTCCTTCTTGCCGCTCCTCCAAGCTCGATGCTCTTCTAATTTTTGGAGCATTAATTGAAGTTTCCTCATAGTTTTCTCCATTTCTTTTTTCAACACTCTATTAAAAGTATAGGCACAAAAATAATAGACAGAAATAAATATTTAGATTTAATAACTAAATCTACACAATTGGCTACTTTTTATTAAATAGCTCTCATAGCATGTCAAAGCAAATTGGGGAGGGAGGTCAATATAAAGGGAGAAAATGAAATTATTGGCAGAATCAAAACATAACATATCATGAAAGATCTTTTTTATTGTTCTATTTAAGCTGCCTCCCCAGCACCCTTCTTTATCTATTTTGTCTGCCAGAACTTTCTCAAGTGTTTTTGTGCTCGGGTCTTTCAAAGAAAAGATTTGCATTCTTGGGCAATTCTGGACGATGACTTTCTCTACCAATGGAAACTTCAAGGAGCATTTATTTGAGCAAAACATCTTGAGACTTTGTAGAGATTCTAGTTCCAAATTTTCCAAGCTACAAAAAGCAATTTCGCATTCTCTCTCCTCTCCCTCGTGCCACAATTTGCTCAACTGAACTACACTCCTTATCTTCAATGTCGTTAACATGATTAGACTTCTTGCTGTTGCTGTTGTGATTACATCAATCAATCCATTGCAGTTTTCTACCTCTAAATATATCAAGCGATTGAAAGTAATAGAGGAAGGCACCAGAAGCTTCAAGCTGGAACAATTGTCCACATCTATGTATTCAAAGAGTCTCAAGAACAGGATCTATCTGGCTTCCTTCTTTACATATGTCCTTGATTTCATGCAATTCTCTGAGCATTAATTTTTTGATTCATGTTGTGATCTTAATTTGTCTCCCTTGTTCCATGGTTAATTATTCTTGGAATATCTTCTTGAAAGAGTTCCATTCAATAATAAGCCATTCAAGAGTGGTTATATTTTAGAGAAACCATTACAGAAAGTGGCTTGGACACCTTCAAACTTGTCAAACAAAGGAGTTTGAGTTTGCCGAAGTGTTCCCCAGAAAGTTGCCCTTGTAATATAATGTTCACATCCTCACTGCTTAGAGCTAGTGTCTTCAAGTTCTCAATCACCTATTGAACCAAGTTTGAATAATATGTACTGGAAGTGAAATATCATAGATAAAAAAAAAAAAAGAACTAGCTCTCATTCAATTATTTTTTTGGTCCAAAGCAACCTTTTAAATTGCATGTCTAGTTCTCTACTATGCATGTGTGATTATGTGAGAAGTAAGTGATGAATGGAATGCATACTAATCAAACTTGACTAAAAATTTTTCACTAGCCCCTTAAAATTATTATAAATAATGTATTTCTATCCATCGTTTATGAAAATCAAACTTGAACATGGGTTATCTTCATAAATATCAGGTAAAATGTGTTCCTTAACTTTGTCTATACAACTGTTAAAAAAAAAACATAGAAGGATATGATTATCATTAAATATTCACATGGTGCTGCAATAAATAGGAGAAGAAATAGCTATGATGTAAAATAATGAAACTTTCAGTCTGGAAAACAGTAAAGCTATGCATTCCTATCTATGATGTACAAATTTAGTGTAGGTTTTTGTAACCATATACCAGTTCAAGCGTGAAAAGAGGCTGCTGCATTGAGAATTCTTTACTACCAGAAACTTCTCCTTGGCTACTCGAATATTGTGTCCTGAAGACCTCCAGTTTCTTACAATAGAAAGCAATAATTTCTCTTAGTGATGGACATTATAAGCTGTGCTTTCCATGAAAAAGTCCCCTGAGTTGATGTAATTTGAAAAGCGTCAAGCTCATCAAGGGATTAAACCCAAATTTGGCTGGAATATCCAAGGGCCCGTCTTTCTTTGAGACAATATCCTTCATATTTCCTGCTTCTTTTATTATAATTTGTTCAAGTTGGGGCAGGTTCAGGGTTATGGAGAACGGAAAAAAGTATTATGAAATTTTAGTCTTCAACAGCACGACTTGCAAATTCTTAAAGGGAAGACTTAAATGAGGATCTTCAAATTTGTTTCAACATTGGCAATCGAAGTAGGTCACATTGTTGATCTGTGTTGTATCCTCTACGCTTCCCATATCATCAACACCCAACCGGAATATCTCTTGCACTGAGTTACCCATCTTTAATCTTCAAAGTATCGAGACTTGCTAAAGCTCCTTTCATATATGATAGAAATATATTCTCAATTTTCTCATATCTTTTTTACTTTCAAGCTCTAAAAGCTGCTCATGGAATTTGGAGTGACGATGGAATGCCATATTGTCTTTTCAAGTTTTGTATTTCTTTTGATATCATTGTTTCCAATTTAGGTAAAAGTACCTATGACCCATTCAAAAAATTTCAAATATGCATATTAGTTTACAATATAAAGAATACCCTGGAGCAATTTTTATTAAAAAAAAAAGAAGCGGGGGAACAAAACAAAACTTGGGCAAATTCATTTTGAGGCAAAATTACAACAAAAAAGAGAGAATGATAAATAATGACCTTATAAAAACATTAATATCAAATTAAGATTTTTTAATATTGATGTTACTGAACTTCAGTACTTATTTTACCATATTTTATTTTAATACTAAAGTTTTTAATTTGATATTAATGTTCGTATAAGGTTTTTATTTGTCATTCTTGCATACAAAAAAGTAAACTAGGTTAGATGCCAGTTCTCTGCGCTTTGTCCTGTTTTTCATAGCATTTTCAATGACACCACAGACCTCCCTCGCATTTCAAATTTTCTTTTAAAAACATGCATAATTGTGAAGAATAGGTTTTCAGAAAAATAATTATGAAGAATAATAGGAATATAGATAATGTATTTATGAGTCTGTTATTAACACTATCCGAAGACAAAGGTTTCTTTGAACAGGGGAACTCGGAAACAGCAACACGAGAGAGCAGCGACGTCATTGATGCTACGATAAACAAAGTCTTTATGATCACATTCTCATGTTCCTTTTCCTTTCCTTTTTCTTTTTTCTTTAAATGATATTTATATGTAGTGGAGAAGGACAACTATTAGGCAAGAGCATAGAATAAGGAGTATAATTTTTTTAATCCCTTCATATTTCTGATTTTTAATTTCCATGCCTTCAAGTTGAACACTATTTTTATTATCAAAGTTCCCAAGAAGGTGAATCTGGAATCCTTAATTGATTTTATCAAAGCCTTCCTATTTGTGTTTCTTGATATGAAGGAGCAGACTTCAGTTCTGGCACAGCAAACTTAGAAATAAACTCAGAATCATCATATATCATTCGAAAAGATAATCAAATTCAAAATCAATAGTTGATCCCATATATATGTCATATGTGCTCTGGGCTGCATCAGCCTTATGACATGTTATTGCTCTGTAACAATATATATACACACACATATATTCAGTACAAAATCCAAGTTCACTTACTTTAATTAGAATAGTATCCAGAGAAGGATATAGAATTGCCAATTCCTTCTATACCTAACATGCAGAACAACTGAATGGGATACAAATGACATATTACTATTAATATGCATACGGCAGACCACAAACCAGCATGCAAAAGAAAATATGTAGTGCTGATAATTAATGAAAGTGTCCAGAAACAAAATGAAGAAAGAGGAAGCAAATATATTGTTGTATTGAACCAGTCAAGCAAGGATGAGTGTGAATTTCATCTTCATGGCTCAATAAAATGATCGAGCCTGCTCGCCTCATCTCGCAATGAGACTAAGGATGCCTCAACAGAAGCTAACTCAGTTCTAAGAGTGGAAGCTTTAGCTTCAGCCTCTTCAAGCTTTCTATTGAGTTCATCGCCATCAACACAGCTCTCAATGCAACCATGCACGTAACTGAGCCAAGAACCATCGAAACCAACTGCTTCTAAGGCAGTACAACACTGTTTGATGTAGTTCGATCATCCTCTGTCAAGTCACGTCTTCGAGTGGTCCTTTAAATGTGAGTGACTTCAGTGAATAAGGAAGCAAACACTCTTCGTCTCTTTGTATTGAACCAATCAAGGACTTGAGGATGACACTTCACTCCAGCCTCTAGATATGGCAAGTTCTGTACCGAAATGTCAATCACCCACTTGTAGTTGCTGTCAGCATCTAATGCTAACACTGATGAAGTCATGGCTTCTGGAGCTCGTGATGTTGATGGATCAATTGCTGAATCAAAAAAAGACACAAGAAAATAAGATGGATATAGTTTTATAATTTTTTTAAAAAAGCTGTTCTTTTTGTTCTTAAAAGCTAAAAATGTATTACTTGCTGTATATTCAGTATGGTTTGAAGTCTGGCTTGGCAAACTCTCATTTGGAAGTGTTTCTGGGTCAGGGGATTTTTCTAGTATATTTTCAATTTAAACGATAGAGAGTTAGGGATATTAATTATTGAGGATTGCAAAATATTATAATGAAGAATGAATTACAAAACATTGATAAAGACCAGTGAGAAAAATAAAGTTGAAACTTAAGAACCATACCTGAACCATTAGAACCTGCAAAATAATTAAGGAAAATAATCCTTTAGTATCCGGTCATTGATTCATGTGAAGTCAGAGCTTGCAAAACAAAATCGATACCTATATTTTCAATCGTGGTAGAGTTAAGTACATTTTGAGGAGCTTGAGATGAAGGCTTTTTGATAGTGTCACACATCCCTCGAGCCCAATAAATAAAACATGTGATTTCTCTTTGATTTTAATTAAAACGGAAATTATAATAATTAATTAATCCAAAGAAACTATTTACAAGAAAAAGAAGAGACTAAATGAGATAAGAACCTGAGTTTTGTGCTTTTGAAAGGCTTCCTCCATCCTTGTCAATGTTGTCATCTATATCTTGAGTTCCAATGGCTAAATAAATAATGATAAATATATAACATTATATGAGACAGATTTTTCTTTAAGAAAGAAACTATAAAAAATTATTTCCTTCAAAGAGTAAAATATCCATTACTTTGTTTCGTGCCACCAATTACAAAGGTTGTGGGCGAATTGGACACATTTTCGGTGGGAACAATTTTGGAGTCATGTGATTCTTCTGATAAATTTCAATTAACATAATAGAGATTTAGAATCATTAACTAATTAAGCAAGAGTATAATATCAAAACTTCATCAAATATAATATAACAAAGTAATTCAGGTCATTTATGACGAGTTAGAGACTACAAAACATGATTAAAATCAAAACTTTAGAATAGTTAATAATTAATCCAAATGATCATCAAACATGAAATAGGAGCTCAAAATCATTCAAATCAATTCGAAGACAATAAAACTTGATACGAACCTGTGTTTTGCATTGTGGCAAGCCTTATTTTGTCTTGATCAATTTGAATCAATCGTTTGTTAATAGTCTCATCCATCTCTCGATTCCCAATAGCTTAAACAATAATTGAAAAAAATTATAAAAAACATAAAGCTATAATATTTTTATGGAAAAAGTAATTTCCTTCCAAAAAGGTAAAAAAAAAAAATCATTACTTTCCCCTTTATCGACAGTTACAGAGCTATTGGTTTGGTTGAACATGTCCTTTTCTATGTTAGAATCCAATGCATTTTGGGCAGCTTGAACCATTCCTGGAGTTGTGGTAGCTAAACAAATTAAATTAGTTTTCACAACAACAGTAGAAAATAGAATGACAAACGATTTTGACCAATATTATATTATTACTTGCATTATGAACCATAATAGGGCTTATTTCATTTTGAGCATCTTGAATTGGAGAAGTCTTGAATGTTTCATGCTTCTTTTGTGTCCGGATATCTGAATCATATGATTTTTCTACTAAAAAGTTGGAGTCACTTGTTAAGCCGAAAAGCAATGGGACAAAGAATCATGCCATATAATAAAGCACTTTGGGTCAGATTCTCAGCCAGAAGCATTTTTAGGTCATGCAATTTTTCCAATATATTTTAATTCACATGGTATAGACAGTCAGAAACATATCAATTAATAAATAAAAAATGAATTAGTGGGAAAAAAAGTTAAAAAGTGCATATAACTTTCTTTATTGTTGGCAATTTAATTTCTAGAGGTTGTGGTCTGGTTGAATAAATTGTCACTAGCTCAAACTTAAATGTCATGTGATTCTTCTGGTAAATTTCAGTCAGGATAACATACAATTTTAATAATTACTTAAGCCAGAGATTACTACAACAAATTAGAGCATAGTTGTGGGACTTCTCACATTAACTTATGTCTACTCGTATTTGAATGTCCTAATGAAAATCTAGAATCTATTATTTCTTGTGTTGAGACAGAGTTCAATACAATTTGGGTAGCTTGTGTGAAGGGTTTAATTTTTTAATAGCTTCATATTCTTCCTTATTCCTAATAGCTATACAAAATAAAAAAAATAAAAAAAAGTGAGAGAGACAAAAAGAATGATGCAACAGAATGTTGGCAAGGAATTTTTTTTCCCTTTTTCAAAAGGTGAAAAATGCATTAGTTACCCTCTCTGTTTTTAGGTATCTATTTGGTTAAACAAATCCTTAATGAAAAATTAGAACCACAAAATAAGATCATCAATCCCTGTTTCCTGAACTGAGATATGAGTTAATGTGTTTTCAACGGCTTCAGCAAATAGCGTTTGAAGGGTGTCATTGATCTCTTCAGCCCTAGAGGCTGAGCAAATATGCAAATTTCATTTCAAATAAACAAGTTTCACAAAATAAAATGAGAAAAATATTTTAGCAAAATAAAAATGAATTACTTTGCTCCAAATAAATAAAAACAATGGTAATATTGTAACAAGATCCATACCTGCATCAACTTTTGGGAGACTTAATGTGTTTTGACTAACTTGATCCAGGGGCAGCTCAGTGATTTCACGCATCTTATAAGCATCAATACCTGAGTAAATAAAATAAATATAGAATGACATAAGAATGTAGCAATAATAAAAATTATTTTCTTCCTCATGCAAAAGACGTGCCTCTATGGAAAGAAAACATGGGTTTGATTTCTCCCCAAGGAGTTGATGATGTGTTGAATTCCCTCATTATTTTGAATGTGGAGGTTCTTTAGGAGAGGAAATCCTTCTCCATTCAAATCATAGAGAACATTGGATATTCCATTTATTTCATCCAAATACAAGTCCTCCACTCCTTTGATAAGTTCTTTAATGCCATGCTCCAAATAAATGAGAGTACCAAGCTTGAGCTTAAGCATTTTTGAGGCCCCATAGTTATCAAACCATTCCCATACATCTCCTATCACTATCTTGTATCTTTCCAACTTCTCAAACATTAAATCTATTGGTAAGAGCCAAGCTCCTTTAATTTGAATTTCTAGAGTAGTCAAGTTTCCCAAATGCCTAAGTTCCGTAAGGGAAGCATTTCCATTTTTCTCAACTGAATCTTCAAGGTCCCACTCGATGGAGGTATTCCTAAATACAGTTCTTCCAGTTTGGTCAATTTTGATAGGATATTGGATGGGAAGATTTCAATTCCAGAGTTGGTTAGATCCAACATTCTAAGATGAGTCAATTTCCCTAGTTCACTAGGCAATGTTATCATGGATGATCCTTGAAGGCTAAGAATTTGCAAATTTGTTAAAGCTCTAATGTTGGTCATGTCTCCCAAAGCACATTGATCCAAACAAAGTGTTTGAAGGTCAATAAGGGAATGAAAGGACTTGGGCAACAATGGCAAGTGCATTTCAGTCAAGTCTAGCACTTTAAGGTTTTTCATTCCCTCAAAGAATTCTTGTTATACAAGGAAAAAAGTTTAACGGTAGGACACTCTAACCTTTTAGGAAGCTTATGAATGTGACACCATTCTAAGATGATTTAGGTGCATCTTTGAAGCAATTCCTCTGACGGTCATTTATGCAGCTCATCATCACTTCCAATTTTGAAAACATGCTGATCTCTTTTAGCAATTGAGACTGCCACTTCACGTATGATGTCATGCATTTCAACTTCATTGTTTGAGTTGTTTTCAAGTAACATACAGGATGCTTTTAAGGAACCAATCAACCTTTGAAGTCCAAGTCTTGCATCTTTTGGGTTATAAATGTGGTTGAATATGCCCAAACCCATACTATATTTCAACAGGTGTTCAACGTTATTTTGAGATTCTAGTAATGCACAAAGCAAGAAGATGATTGTAACTAAACTCTATAGCCGAATAAATTACCCCATTGATTCCTTCCTTATCAACAATCTTTAGTTGGTTAAGAATCTTTCCAAGAATCGATACTATATTTTTTAATGCTCTCGCCACTGTCACTGAAAGGATAGGCAAGCCTGCACACTTTTGGGCCACTTCAATTGCCACGCTATGCAAACTATCATCTTCAACAACATCACCCACCATATCTTCAAACAAACTCCAAGCTTCATCTTCATTTAGAACATCTATCAAGAAATCTTTTTGAGTCTCCATTTTTTGTAATATATCTAGATTCCTAGAAGTTAGCAATAGTTTGCAACCCTTGTGATCCTTCAAAGGAACTCCTAGCTTGTCTAAATCAAGTATTGCCCAAAGATCATCCAATATGACTAGGATGCTTTTCTCTTTTTTAATCCTTTGGGAGAGGCGACTTGCTCTTCCAACTACAGTTGTCTCTTTAAAGTCAAGGCCCAAAAAATCTGCAATCTCACCTTGAATTTTTTCTAGATCTAGAGTTTGAGATATATGAGCCATTACGACTTCATCAAACAACTTGCCATCTTTAACATGTTTAGCAATTTCTTTAACTAGGGTGGTTTTTCCAACTCCACCAAGCCCATAGACCCCTATTTGGCTTAAATTAGGGTGTGTTAGAGCCAAGACAATGTCCTCCTTCATTTTCTTTCTTGACTCAAGCTTTTCACTGCTTGTAGCAGAAGTGAAGCCTACTCCCTCTAAAGCAGGCAAGTATCCAAGATATTGAATATTATCTTTTCCTTGCATTAATTCAGCAACATTTCCAGCCATTTTCTTTGCTTTTCTACTAAGTTGATGTCGTGACTTTAAATCAGGAAAAGGCCCCTTGCAGCAACAACATTCTTATGACGAGGATCATCACTGAGTTTCTCTGCTACTTCCATGATTTCATCCACTTTGTCTAGCCAGTTGTTTACAGCATCATAAATTTGACGTCCATTTCTTCTTTCTGCTACCACTTCTCCTTTAATAGTATCCTTTACATGCTTCAGCTCTGCAAGTTGATCCTTGAGATTCTTGACATTGTCTCCATAGAAAATTAAATAACCCACTTGCCTTGCAATGGGTGCCACAGTGTCGTTTACTATCGGTTCTGCAACTTTTTCAACAATTGTGCTCATAAGAGTCTCCATTCTTGTTCTCAGAATTAGCTGCGCAGGAACTCCAATATAAGATCAACTGACAATACAGGAATAGAAAATAGTGGAAGTGGACCCCCTCTCGCAAGTATCCTTGTTACAATGTCCCACAATTGTGAAAATTTTAGATGTTGATTTCATCCAAGAACTCGATTTACTTCTATTTTCGGTTGCATCTCATCATATGCTATTACTCTTTCTTTTCTTTTAAAAAATAATGGTTAAATAATCCTAGTTAAAAATCTGACACCTTCGATATGAATTATCTCCCTTTTTAACCCTAAACTTTTATAATTAAATAATTTTGCAAAGACTGATAGCAAATTAATGAATAAAATATACCAACATTCTCTCTATTTTATCTTAATTAAAAATACCTCCCTTATATTTTTAAAATATATCAGAATCTCCCTTGGAATCAATAGTGACAAAATACTAACATCCCTTCTACTCTTTTTGGCCCTCCCCCCCCCCAAAAAAAAAAAAAAACCTCCCTTCTACTTTTAGAATTTCATTTTCATCCACCCAATGGTTAATCATTAAGTTACATGGATCAAAATACCCCTCTTTAAGTATAGATGTTGTCTAAAATTAATTTAAGTTATCCAAAAACAAATTTAATGCATATATTCATTTTACTTTTTTATTCATATTTTTGATTTTTTATTTATTTAAACTTATTTATTTAATAATTTTTAAATGCTCAAACACGTAAGTTGGCTAAAATAATATTTTAAACATGTGTAAAAACCTTAATGAAATAGGGATTTAATATAATAAGAGATAAATTATTTAATATAATTTATTTTTATTTTTCTATCAAATAATGTTTATTTTTATTTAAAATTTCATTAATCTTAGCACATTATTATCCTCTAACTTTATATATGATTTCAGTTTTATCTTTTAATTTTATAAAGTATTTTTTTAGTCTTTTAATCATAATACCATCAATTTCAAATGATTACTTTTTATGTCAATAATTGTTGTTATAAAAATAATTAAACTTAATATGACAACTTTTGAGAATGATTTGTCAATATTAAAAATTTCAATGTAAATATTTTTTTTTGTAATGAGACTTATTATGTTAAAGTTAAAAGATTAAAAAGACACTTTATAAAATTAAAAAAATAAAATAAAAATTTATATAAAATTAAAGGACTACATATACATTTTAGCTCATTATATTTTTTAAATATTATTGTGATTAAGTACTTAAAGTTGTTTAAATTGGAGGGACAAAGAGTAGACAATTAGTTTTTAAGGGCATATTAATAATTTAATTTTTTTAACATAATTATAACTAAAAATTTAAGTATTTTAAAATCTTTATAGAAATTTTTCTTGTCGCACCCAAAAAAATGAGACCCGGATGGCACGCGAGCAGAGGTCCTGGCCTTTGTTGTGGGAACCGGATCGAATGAGGAGTCGCCACTAAGATTTTGAGGTAAATCTTGGGAAACGATTAATGGAGGATAAGGGTGGTCTGTGAAATCAGAGAATAGATTCAAGAGTCGGTTGATATGGGGAAGGTGTTAAGCACCCCACAACACCCGTTCGTTAGAACGGTTACTTGAAGGTTGTTGTGCTCTATTAATATAGTTTTATAATTATTTTAATTATCCCTTTTATATTCATGTGTTTTATATAAAAATGATAAGAATTATGTGAGAAATGTTTATTTATTTACGAGGGAGGACGGACTTGACTCAGAATTTGACTCTGAGGCCTACGTAACCTATGATAGAGATCAAAGTTCATGTAATTCGGGCTTAAAAGTTTGTTGGTGAAAATATTTTTTGAAGAAAAATTAATTAAAAATAATTCACCATTTTGAAAATAAAACAATTTTTGAAATTTTGATATGTGTGTTTTAAATTGCAAAAAGTAATTTAATTTTAATTATTTTCTCCATTTTTGAATTTTTGGAATAAAGAAAAGAAAGGTTTAAAATTATTTTTCTTTATGTTTTATGATTAGAAATTTTAATCGCAGTACCTGTAGAACCTTATTAGTTCATACGGTAATGCAATTACTCTAAATATCTGTGGAGATTTTGAAATCTTACACGATAAAAGAGTTTGACAATTTAATTTATTTATTTATATTCTTATGTACATTTTTAAGTGTTAATAATAATTTTTTAGCATGTAGATACATATTTTGAAGAATTGTAATCAACATACCTGCAAAGCCTTATTGACTTATACGGTAATATGATTATCCTAAATATCTACGGAGATTCTAAAATCTCACACGATAAAGGAATTAAATTTAAATATGTCTTTAATTTAATTAATTTAATATATAATTTATATATTTTTAAAAACTTAATTGTTATATCTACAGAGTCTTATTGACTCATATGATAATACAATTATTTTAGAAATCTATAGAGATTCAAAAATCTCACATGACTAAAAGATATAATTAGTAAATATGATTACAATTTAAATGCATTAATTTGGTTAATTAATCTCCTAAATTGTGTATTATGTGATTATTTAAAAAAATCATTTATTGTATATATTGAGAACCACCACATCTGTGAGGACTTATT